AGTTGGTTACATTTCACAACGGATTTATTGGTTGCTCCTTCTCTATTATATACTTGCATTTAACCATTAATGAATAAAACTAAAACTGAGTTTTTATGTGGAGACGTTCTGAAAAGCAAGTTTTGTGAGATACGCCATTGATTTGGCTACATGTGTATGCTGAAATGATTGCTTTTGTTTCAGTGGTGGGAACATCCGGCATTTCGGCTCTTAGGCTCCCCGTCTTCAACCGCCAGTACTGGTGGTACCCTGTGATGAATTTTGATTCGGAAAGGACAACGGTCAAAGTAATTTTTTTGTCAATACTGGGACAAATACATGAATGAAAGCACTTTTTTTAGATCAAAATAAATAAGTGTTTTACTTAGTCGACTTAATTTGTTAAGAATGTTAAACTATCTTGATTGTACGTTAAGTGATATATTTTGCAGGCAAAACCACACTAATTTTGGTTACTTTATTCCGTGCCACCCTTGAACTTCCCCAGATTGGTAGGTTAAAGCTTTAAGCGCTAAGTTGGCACCGTTGTGACTGGAATGGGTGCCGGCTAAAAACTGTAGTCCTATACCCATTACTTTGTGCTAACCAGTACTAATCATATGGAGCCCGTACTTTCATTCCTAGGACTTCCATTCCTGTTATACCGGCGCTAACCATACGGGACCCCGGACATCCATTCCTAAGACTACCATTCCTGTAACACTGGTCTTGTTTTGACTGATGTCACACTTGGGATGTTATCATACCTTGGTCCATGACTCTTTGGAGATTTTGTTATGGAATGGTTTTTATTTCAGAGTGAGACATATAGCAAGAAGTCTGCTCTTACTGCTCTGAGAGTCCTATGGAATGGAGACACCCGTCAGTGGAACAACGGCCAATGTGCCCGGTGGTACTTTACCTTTAACGGCACAGAGTGCAGCAATCCGGGCACCATAGAAAGTGTCAAATACACCTACTACTATGATGCAAGCTCTGTCAATTTACATAGCCCATTTACAGGTATATTGGAACTGTAACTTACCTTAGACTAAACAATGAGAGTTAGACCTTGATGTAACAAAAATGTGATATTTCAGCACTTTTTACAGAGAAGGTTAATTTCGCTTGTATTGGTAAACGAGTTTTTACATCAATATTTTTTCTCTATCCCCCCCCCTTGCTGTCACAGGCGCGCGGGCCTGAGCGCACATAGACACAAACAAAGTTTTAATTCCTTAACCATTCATTTCAGTACAAGGGACATGCGTGGGTCTGCCAGCTGGGGACATCACTTTGAATTTTGCCGTGTCTCATTGTTCTGGATACAGTGGGGAAAACGCCTACACCGCCTGGGGGAGTGCAAGCAATATGATGGCAGAAGAAATTTTCCTGGACACCTACTGATATACAAGTCTGTAACAAGGCATAAATTAAACATCGACGCCTTTGTACCTTCATAAAAGAATGTTTTTGCAGTACTTTTCATTACTTTTTGTTTTCGTTTTTATGTATGTGACGCTGCAACAGAAATGAAATGTTTCTTATTGCATGTTTGCGTTATTGATTTGCTTATCTATTCTCAACCCGGTTAAGCCAACCATTAACTGAATTGATGCACTTACTAGTTACCGTATCACAATCAATAAACTTGCATTTCGTATCTAGGTTTCGTAACTGTGCATAATTTCATATTTAACTTGAATTTTAATTTTTAACAGCATGTTTGTCAATAAACAATGTTTTATTTTTAACAGCGTAAAGGGACCAATAAAGACGTGAGAGATAATTGCCGAAATGTGACTTAAAACACTCGCTCGTTGAGTTGATTTTGTGTGAAATAATTTGCATATTTCATTTAAACACGTTGCTAAAAGGTTAATACCCTTTTGGACAAGACAAGTTACCAAGGGGGTGGTTTATTGGTACTGACATACCTCTTACACATTTCTCTTTAAAGATATTCTATATAAGATGTAAGTTTTTTTACACCAAAATATATTTTTACCTTTTAAACTGAATTCTTCTATATCAAATGGCAACTCAAAGCACCATATTTATATCGATAAAACGCAGCATCGCACAAGCTGTATTTGCGTACATTACCGCTATCCGTCCGCTGACAATTTACTGTCACGCATGCGCCATAAACTTCGCCTCTGTTGCTTCTGTTTTGCATACGGTTATTAAAGCGCTCACACTCCGTAAACCAGGCACAGTTTGGGGATGAACCCCCGACAACATGGGGAATACGTTGATTGCCGTTTACTGTCTTATGGTATCGGCTTGTCTATTTTTTGACGTTTATGCGGCAACCGTCAAACTTTGTGGCGGCAATTTAGATGCCCAGGCACGGGGAATTCAACAAGTTTTTACAGATTTCACAACTGTGACGCAGGTTTTGGACAGTGTAGATGCGCGTTCCAATTTGGAATGCATCACTAAATGTTCCCAAAATGATTATTGTGCAGCGGTTGTATTTAGAGAGCGAGATCGGCGCTGTGACCTGTTAGATAGTCAGCAGGACGTCACCCAATACTCGTCATCTGAAAAGACAGGCGTATGGGTTTCCAATCTGGACATCGTACTGGTGAGTGATGACATGAAAGTTTTTTTCATTCGTTCAGTATCACATTTAGAGATCACATGTGAGCAAATGCGTTTTTATTTGCTATTTGAATGGCTCCACGCACGGAAAAGTCACCTCTCCTTATCCATTTTAGAAAAAAAAACCTTGAAACATAGGACATTACTTATGTAGGAAAGATAAATATGTTCGCCTCCTGTTAAGTATCCAATATAACAACCGACCCAAAATCAAGTCGTTTGAAAAAACGATGAAGTATTTTTTTTTCATTTTTATGACCATAAAATCTTATTTGTTCTCCATTTTGGAAAATCACACGTTTAAAATGCTTTAATACCCCCTTTACACTGGACGGCGTCCTTTCTGCGTCCTCTCTGCGACCATTCAATTTGGCATCGCTGTGGTCTTAATAAGGAAGCACGAGCATTAATTTTGTATCAGAATGAATGCTAAATGATCAGCCAGTTGTCGGCACGTAAAATATTATAATTTTTTAACTCTCAAATGGGGCCTTACTACTGGACGCAGAAAGGACGCCGTCCAGTGTAAAGGGGCCCTAAGTGACATGACATTCCACTCCGCCTTACGGAGAAAAGTATCCAGTCTAATGAAAATGAGATTATACGATCAGTGATCAAAGATAGATCAGGAAACAAACAATGAAAGCTTCGGATTCCAATATTCTTTGCCACGACATGCAATCTTATGAATGATTTATCTGCTTTACAAACTCTTAATATGAAAACGATTTTGAATTTCAACAAAGTGAATGTAAAGGTGGAATAGTTTTTTAAATTTTCTTTTGTGTGAAGTAAAAATATTTTGTTTCTCCTTATGCTAAAATGATGTCGTAAATATTAAGGTGCCTTGGGGACAGATTTATTCTTCTGGTGCAGGCTCACAGTCTTTTTTATCATTCATAAAAGACAAAATAATATTCTGTGATATTTTGATTTTACAGTAGTATGAATGCATTGGTTGAACATAGATTCTAATGATCAAAAAACCCTACTTTGTTATCAGTGTTTGTCACTGTAAGCAAAATACAAAGCTCCAAAGAAAAACAAAACGAATAGAGGAATCCCATTAAATTAATGTCTTCATTCTTGTAATATGCTTATGCTGAAATACATTGTAAAAATCACGATATAAAACATTGCTTTGACTTCTATAAAGCTTGAATTTGAATGGGAAGCACTGTTTACAAAACAAAAACTATTGGATGGCACAACATAATCAATAGAAAAATAATCATTGAAAATACATTAGGGGCAAATCCTTCTAAATGATCACGGAGCGATATCAAATAAAATGAGGTATATACCAATAATTGATCCTTACTTTTTATCCTCTTTGTGCTTTATAGTCCATAAGGTGTACGTACGTCCCTCGATATTGTTTCAAACCATTTTCAATTTTGTTTCTTTAAAAAAAGGTGATTTGATGTTCAGTAGGCACGAAGAACTAATAAGTCATAAAATGAGTTACTTTTGTACGCATTGCTATCCGCCTAATGAACCTCTGGTGACAGGATATATAAATGATGTATGTGAATGAATAAACTCAGACAAGCTCATCCACGCACAATTGAATAAATTGCACATGGGTGTTCGCTTGAGTAATGGTCCTAAACAAATGCATCAATAGTAAGCAATAGCATTGGTAAATTCACCTTGGATAACATGAGCTTGTTATGGTTACCTCCAGCTGTTGTTCATCGTTAAGACCAGAAGTAGTAAAACGAAACAGTGTCCTGTTCTTATACGTTTTTATAAAACATAAAACACTTCCCAAAAGGCCAATCAAAGACAAATATTAAGTGCAGTGTCCAACGGAAGACGCCGAAGCGCCATTTTTGGGAAAAATACCGTTTTTGGTTTTGGGATTTAAGAAGAAGCCTGTTTACATAGGTAACACTGTAGTGAAGCAAATGTGAGATTTTACAAGGCTTGGAGTTGATTTTAATTGCATCTTGACATGGCATTATCACATATACAAACTATTCGATGGCACACCAAAATAAACAGAAAAATAAATCATTAAAAATACAGTAGGAAAATCCTTCTAAATGATCACGGAACGATATCAAATAAAATGAGGAATATACCAATAATTGATCCTTAATCCTCTTTGTGCTTTATAGTCCATAAGGTGTCCCTCGATATTGTTTCAAACCATTTTCAATTTTGTTTATTTAAAGAAAGGTGATTTGATGTTCAGTAGGCACGAAGAACTAATAAGTCATAAAATGAGTTACTTTTTACGCATTGCTATCCGCCTAATGAACCTCTGGTGGCAGGATATATAAATGATGTATGTGAATGAATAAACTCAGACAAGCTCATCCACGCACAATTGAATAAATTGCACATGGGTGTTCGCTTGAGTAATGGTCCTAAACAAATGCACCCATAGTAAGCAATAGCATTGGTAAATTCACCTTGGATAACATGAGCTTGTTATGGTTACCTCCAGCTGTTGTTCATCGTTAAGACCAGAAGTAGTAAAACAAAACAGTGCCCTGGTCTTATACGTTTTTATAAAACATAAAACACTTCTCAAAAGGCCAATCAAAGACAAATATTAAGTGCAGTGTCCAACGGAAGGCGCTGAAGCACCATTTTTGGGAAAAATGCCGTTTTTGGTTTAGGGATTTGAAAAAAAAACCTGTTTATATAGGTAACAATGTAGTGAAGCAAATGTGTAGTGAAGCCATTGTAAACAATAGTATTAGTAAATTCACCGTGGATATCAACAACCTGATGGTTACCTCCAGCTATTGTTCATACTTAAGCCATCAATCCAAAAGCGGGAAATGGAGTGTAAAGGTTTAATTGTCTGTGAACAGAAAAACATGTATAATTTTATTCGGCTGAGCGAAGTGAATAAGAATGGAATTGTTTTCGCCTAGCGGGCGACACTGTTTTTGTTGTCTTAGTTGTGCTATTGTGGGTAAGTTACGATAGTTGTTCATTCGACCAGTTAGCGCAGACCATGCAGTTGACACGTAAATTTTCGAGCCCGTCTTTTTCAATGGAAAAATCGGAGGGCGTTCCCTTAAACAAATACTAGATTCTCTGCAATTGTAGGCGGAATCTTTAAAAGATTTAAAGGCTCAGGTAACTTCTGAGTTGGAAAGCTTAAAGAGAGAAGTACAGGGTTCTTCTGACAAAGTTCAGATGATTAAGTCCGAAATTTCTACCAAGCGGCGTCAAGAAGGCAACCGTATTCAATTTGAATTCAACACCTCAGGGCCGTGTTTTATCGCCATGCTTACATATATAGCCTGTTCACATATGTTTGTGTGAGCAACCATGAAAGCACATCTATTATAAAGTTAACTGATTATACAACATTCATAGGGCTGATTAGTGATAACCACGAGACCAAATGCAGACGTAATATTGAATCAGTGGTTGAATGGTGTTACAATTTTTACCTTGTTCTGAATATTGGGAATAAATGGTAGTAGAATTAAGAAAGAATAAGAATGAAAATAAGCCTGTTTACATATGTAGCCCTGTAGTTAAGCAAAAGTGAGATTTTACATATGGCTTGGAGTTGATCTTAATTGCATCTTGACATGGCATTAATACATACACAAACAGCTTAGATAAACGAGACAAAGACTTTACTTTAAAAGGGATTAAACAAGAAACCGATTAGTTTTATTTAACTTTAGACGATGTTTTAACTTTTGCTATGACAGTATGGTATGTGCCTGCCACAGAGGAGGACATTAGTAAATAAGGTGGACTTGCCGAGACCTGCAGAAGAAATGTGAGGGTTGGATCTCCCCTCTCTTAAAATATTGTTTTATGGAAAGGGTGGCCTCTAAAACCGAAAAAAATATGAACGACACTATTCACCCTGCTAATAAACTTTTAAAATTTATCCCAAGAAAATGTAGACTTAAAACTTTAAGAAGGAGCTTTTATGCAGCTGCTACATATTTTTATTAATAAACAATTACTCTAAACCGTATTTGCGTTACAGATATTATTTCATTCATTTTTATTTTATT